GGGGGAGGTAAGACAAACACACAGATTTGCTAACTCACCAGATGTGGATCCTAAATAAGAGTCAAGACCAAAGAGCTGGGCTTGGTGCAGCACACCTGTAATTCCAGCGTTCAGGAGGCAGAGGCCAGCCTGGGCTACATAATGAATTAAGGCCATCTGGAGTATAGGGAGTGAGAACTTTTCTTACTCACAGAGCCCCACCTATCTCTGCCTCTAGAGTACTGGTACTAAAGGAGACTGCCACCACTGTCTGGGTGAGAACTTTTCTTTAAAAAAAAAAGTCACCTCAAGATTTTATTCTGAACAATCTTAACGATGGAGCTACCATTAATGAGGCAGTTAACCTAAAGGCCTGCCTAGTACCTTATATGTCTGAGGCCAGAGCTGAAATGTCCCCTTAGAAGGGGAGGGGGTTGGAGTAATGGCTTTTTTTTTTTAACTATTGAAACAATGGGCAGGGGGTAGCCCATGCCTTTAGTCCCAGCTCTCAGTAGACAGAGGCAGAGGCAGGCAGATCTCTGAGTTTGAAGCCAACCTGGTGTGCAGTGTGAGTCCCAGGACAGCCAGGGCTACACAGAGAAACCTTGTCTCAAAAAAAAAAATTAAATAAAAGGTAGGGGGTGGTTATTGCTAGACCACCTGCTGTATGGGGACATCAAAGTCCTTATTGCTAGACTACTTCCTGCTGAATGGGAACATCGAAGTCTTCATTGCTAGACTACTTCCTGCTGTATGGGGTATCGAAGTCCTTGGAGCAAGCCTGATGATCTTCACCATCTGGGTGTAATGGGGGTCGTAGGCCTCTGGGGCTGATGATCCTGTTATAAGCAGGTTAGGGGCTGATAATCCCGTAATAACAAGTAAGTACTTAAGTATCTGGTTAGAAATCTTCTGAATCTACTATTGAAGAAATCTAGACAAGAAGCTTATGAGCCGGGGTGCAATGAGTAGGATTAGGAAAAGGAAGAGAAGGGGGTTAAGCAGGGCCATACGTGGGCTGAGGATCCGGCCCAGAGGTAAAATGCTTGCTTAGCATGCAAGAGGTCCTGGGTTCCAATACCAGTGAGACTCTTAAAAAGAGAAAACCATTCCAGTCCCGCAGCGGTGGCCCACACCTTTAATCCCAGCACTCAGGAGGCACAGGCAGACAAATCTCTGTGAGTTCAAGGCCAACCTGGTCCACAGAGTGAGTTCCAGGTCGGCCAGGACTGCACAGAGAAACCCTGTCTCAAAAAACAAACAAACAAAAAAACAAAACAAAAAGGCAAACTCCAATTCCATACTGGACTGTCAACAATCCACTGGCCAGAGGCGTTGAGCTGTTCTTTATGTTTTTGGAGATATGTCCGGAGCTGTCAGATTTTTGTCTTTTATTATACCTGATTGGTTGACATAGAAGCAATATTCCTCCTTGAGGAATAGGCAAAGGCCACCATTCTCCACTGTTAGCAGGCCAAACCCTTGCCAGTTTTCTTTAATGGTTTTCAAGTGGTTTTTGCACAGAAACAAGAATTTTTCTTAAGCCACACAATAACCTCCTTGTCCTGTATAAAGCAGGTCGAGTGCCCTATCGTGTTATAGAACTACGTCAGCTAATGAATTTGTCTGTTGATAGATTTGGGTCTATTTGGTTTTAGTAGGTACCCTCCTTTGTATTCCAATAGGCATTATAGGTAGACATTTTGTCCCCTATGCCAGGGAGTTTCCTTTTGACCTAACATTCCAGCCTTTTGGAGAGAACAAGGGGTGATGTATTCTCTTCTGTAACTATTTCCTGCTGAAATTTGGACATCATTGTCAGGGACCAGGAGGGCTAGAATGTTAGTCAGAGGCCAGGTGGGGATCCAGGCAAAGGGGCATCCATCAGAAGCATCTGGTTCACTGACCCAGCAGTAGAGACCCTGGGAGCAATCACATAGGCTGGAGTGGTTCACATCACGTTTCAGCAAGTCCAGGATGTGAAGCCAGTTGGAACAGTGTGTGGTCCATAGCTGATTCCTAGATGGTGTCTGTCAGCCAAGTGGAAATCTGCTAAGACGGATATAGACTAGAGAGAGAAGTTGAAGTGGAGGAACTTGAAAAATCATACATTTGGAACTTTCAGGTCCATAGTTCTTAGAGTTAGTTGGGGGAGGGGAGGTGTCCCAAGACCAGCTGGGAGAGAAATCACACCATCAGGAAGAGGTAGATGGGGAAACTGAGGTTGTACTTATCTGGAGAGATGGCTCAACCATTAAGAGCACTGGCTGTTCTTCCAGAGGACCCAGGTTGGATTCGGAACACCCACATGGAAGCTCACAGAGATCTGTAAACGCGTGTCAAGGTATCTGATGCCCTCTTTGGGGCATGGTGCACGTGGTACACAGATACACATGTAGGCAAAACACCCATACCCATAAAAGAAAAGAAATTTAAATAGAAAACTTTAAAAATATAATGAAATAAATCCTTTTCAAAAGAGGAGAATGGTAGGGGCTGGAGAGATGGCTCAGCAGTTAAGAGCACATACTGCTCAGAAAGGGGACCTGCGTTAGGTTCCCATAACCCTTTTCAGGTGGCTCAGAACTTGGCTTGGAAATCCAGTTCCAGGGACTCCAACTCCCTCTTCTGGATTCCGCAGCCACCTCTCCTCGCATGAGCGCGGATGCACACACAATATGCACATAATTAAAAAATAAAAGACATCTTGGAGGGACGGAAAGGCAACGAGGTAGTGGTTCCTTTAAGAGTGCGAGCTGGCAGGAAGCCCCGCCCAGACCTGTAAGCCCCGCCCCGCCCACGGGAGGCGGGACTCGGGACGGTTTGAAAGGTCGGCGCGCCGAGCGGGGTGGCTCGGCTGCCGCTGAGATGTCGGTGCTGAGGCCGCTGGACAAGCTGCCCGACCTGAACGGGGCCACCATCTTGGTAGGTGCGGGCGGCGCCCCTGGGCCGGCTCCCCGCAAGCCCAGGCCTGGGCGCGTCCTCGGCCACAGAGCGCTCGGACGGCGGCGGGGTGGGCGGGCGGGCGCACTGCTCCGGACCAATCGGAGCGGCGGCTCGGGAAGCGGACTGACGCCTCCACCAATAGGCGCGCGTCTGGCTCTGCAATAGGCTTGAGTGGGCGTTCCAGTTCGAACGTGGGTTTCCCCGCGTTCTGAGGAAGTGTGGCTCCTCGGGGTCCCCTTCTCGGGAAATGGTGTCCCCCCAGGAGGGATGCCAAGTGCTGGGCCCTCGAGAGGAGCCGCCCGCCCTGCTCGGGTCTCCACCTGTCTGGTTCTCTCCCTTCGCAGCTGGTGGGCAGGGAGGATGCGCTCCTGCAGCGGCTGGCCGAGTCGATGCTCAAAGACCACTGTGCATCCGAGCTGAGGGTGTAAGTTGCTGAGGTGTAGCCTGAACTCTGGGCTGACCTGAGGGGGAGGGAAGGGAGCCTGCGGGAGAGGGAGGGCCCCAACTCCTCCCAGTTGCCGCCTTTCCATCCTTAACTGCCCTGCCCACCCTTGCGGAGCTGACTCCTTGACAGGTCTCCGCAAGTGCTCGTGACCCCTACATACGCCGAAAACCCATTTGTTCATTGAAGATCTATCTGGGTTTGGTCGTCAGTGCCTAAAAGCAAAGCAGATCTTTCGTTTCCTTTTGCTGCGATAAAATACCCTGACCAAACCAACTTAAGGGAGAAAAGTCACTCTCGGCTCGCAGGGCCAGGTTACTTGTAGCCCGTCATTGTAGGAGAAGTCCGTGCGGTAGGAAGTTGAAGCAGTTACATCCACAGTCAAGAGGAAGGAAGAAATGCCTGTGTGCTAGGGCTTAGTAATCCAGAATACCCCCTCCCAGAAAATGGTGCCACCTGTAGTGGATCCTTCTGCCTTCCTCAACCCAATTAAGAAATTAAAAAGAAAGGAAATCCCTCACAAGGCATGCCCATAGGCAAACCTAATCTAGACAGTTTCTCATTGAGACACACCCACCCACCCAGGTGACTCTAGATTGAAAAGTAACCATAAGAGAGAGTAACCAAAGCCCCTGGGGAAAATGAACACCGTTTAGAGCCCAACATGAGGGCTTATAGCATTTGTAAGGTGGAAACAGGAGGCACTACCGTCATTCTTCATTGCAATCCAGTTCCAGGCCAGCCTGGGTTCCGTAAGACCCTGTCTCAAACCAAAATACAAAGAAGTCACCTCCCCACCTGTTTGCTAGTGTCTGGTCCTTCCCCCAACCACACACACACACACACACACACACACACACAATCAGTCCCTAAGGACAGATTTTGACTCCCGTTCCCTGGTGAGCCCCCAGAGCCTTAAGCAGTAACTAGCACACAGTAGCTCAGTTAGTAACTGTTGAGTTAATCTGGTTAATTCATGATCCAAGAAATGCTAAAAAATGTCTCAGGCTAGTAGAAGTGTAAGGCAGGGATTTCTGAGGAAAGCTTGGTGACGTGAAGGCGAACTAGTCCAGTGAGATGAACTAGAAAATAGCAAAAAAACCTGAAAGCCTCGATGGTTGTGAAAACGTTCTGGCAATGGTTATGCCTGCAACAAAATTCGGAGAATTCTTTAGTGCCCCAGATTTGGAGGAACAGTAATTACTGTGTGTTTTCCTTTCGTTTTTCTAACCTCACCAGGCTTCCAGGCTTGAGAATATGAAACACATCAACACCAGACCAATCTCATAACTCAGAAACAGAAAAGGATTTTAAAAAATGCATTTGCCCTTGAACAGTGATCTTGTAATCCCAGCTACCAAAGCGGGAAAAGGGAGATGTATGTTTTATGTAGTTTTAGCTAGGCGTGATGGCACAAGACTGTAATCCCAACACCTGGAGGTAGAGTCAAAAAAGATCAGGGGTGGCCGGGCAGTGGTGGTGCACGCCTTTAATCCCAGCACTCGGGAGGCAGAGCCAGGCCGATCTCTGTGAGTTCGAGGCCAGCCTGGGCTACAGAGTGATTTTTCAGGGCAGGCTCCAAAGCTACACAGAGAAACCCTGTCTGGAAAAACCAAAAAAGAAAAGAAAAGAAAAGAAAAAAGAAGATTAGGGGTTCAAAGGTTAGCCCCAACTACACAGGAAGTGAGAGGCTGCATCTGGGCTGCAGAAGACCATGTGTTAGGAAAGAAATGACAATAATTTTAAAAATAAGTTTGGGCCAGGTGGTGGTGGTGGTGGTGGTGGAGGAGGAGGAGGAGCACGCCTTTAATCCCAGCACTGGGAGGCAGAGGCAGGCGGATCTCTGTGAGTTCAAGGCCAGACTGGTCTACAGCCAGGATAGCCAGGACTGTTTCACAGAGAAACCCTGTCTTGAAAAATCAAAAAATAAAATAAAAATTAAAAATAAAAATAAAAAAGTTTTATATGCTTGGTATTCCTTGAATTATAACCTAAGAAAGAGAGTGATGGACCAGGCATGGTGACAGACACCTTTGATCTCTGATCTTTGAGCTTGGAAGGCAGAGGCAAGAGGATCTCTGTGAGTTCAAGGCCAACCTGGTCTACATAACAAGCTCCAGGACAGCCAGAACTACATAGAGACCCTGTCAAAAAAAAAAAAAAAAAAAAGAAAGAAAGAAAGAAAAGGAAAGAGTGCAATATATACAAAGAATGGGTGGAAGAATTCATGAAAGGCCTTCAGGTGGGGGTTTGGCAATTATAGCTAGCAAATGACAAAACCGGATCGAGCCTGTTTCTACCTCACACCAAAGGGATTCAGTCTATCCCCTAACCATCTCAGCCCAGCGCCTCCCCTGAGCCTGGTCTTCCCACAGCAGGCAGGGTTTCTAAATCCTCTTGTCTCAGCCCAGCACACCCTCCACCACCCCACCCCCACCCCCGTGTGCCCCAGCCTGGTCTGCCCCCCACCCCCCGTGTGTGTGTGTGTGTGTGTGTGTGTGTGTGTGTGTGTGTGTGTGTGTGTGTGTGTGTGTGTGTGTGTGCACGGATTCTGGGTCCTCTTGTCACAACAGTTACCAACAGCCCCTTCTGGCCGAGGGACCAGACCCGAGAGGTCTGGGTAGAACTGGCTGTGCCCTGCCTCAGCGCTGGGCTCCCTCTGAGGCAGCTCCTTTCCCTGTAAAGGACACTGTGTGAGCGAACAGTCACTGTGAGGTGAGGACGTGTGTCTCTAGTCCCCCACTTTCTGTTTTTCAGTCACTTGGCCAACTCGCTCCCTCTGCCCTCCAATGTGAACCGGCCCCGAATTGACCTGATTGTGTTTGTGATTAACCTGCATAGCAAACACAGGTGAGAGCCAGGACTGGGCGCCCGAGCGCGACCTGTGCTGGACCAGTAACCTTAGATGGGAAGGCAGGGGCCAGTGAGAGGCTCCGGGGGTGAGGAGGGGTGAGGAGGGAGGGCTGCGGGGTGGTTTGGAAGACAAACCATGACGTCACCGGTCAATTAGCACGTGTATGCCTACTGCCTAAGGGGCCAAAAAGAGAATTGTTCCCCCTGCTGCTGCAGTTACAGACAGTTGTGAGCTGCCCGGCGGGGTCTGGGATGCAAGCTCCGGTCCTCTGGAAGAGCAGTCAGTGTGCTTAACCTTTGCACCCTCTCTCCGGCCCGAACTCCTGCCCTTGGTTTATTTATCTTGTTTGTAGTCGTGGGGATTAAATTTCAGCACATGACCTCTTAGCCCTAAACCCTATCAAAACTACAGCAGTCAGGAGTTGGGTAGTATGTGGGACAGTGGCTGAGAAAAACAGTAGGTGTGTAAACACACCGCTGTATTTGCACATGAAAGAAGAGTCCTAGAAGAATCACACCCCAAACTGTTGGCAGTGAAGGATGATTCAAAGAGGATTCTTTATATCTGTGTGTGTGTGTACATATATATATTCATATTTATTGCTTGATTGTTTTATAAGCATTCGTGGCCTTCTCTGTAAGTAAAAGTAAATTTTAAAACAGGGTATATGTGGCTAGGCAGGTGGCTCAGTGGTGCCGAAAATGTGGTTCCCGCACCCACAGCAAGAGGTTCACAACTTACTGTAACTCCAGCTCCGGGGATCCACAGACACCAGCACTCATGTACACCTAAACTCATGCTTGCCGGTCAACACATAGTTTAAAATAATAATAATAAAACCTTTTAAAAATAAAACAGACCGGAATCCCAGCATTTGGGGTATGGAGACAGGAAGATGAGAAGTTCAAGGTCATCCTTAGGGCAGCCTGAACTACATGAGATCTTGACTTAGAAGGGGGGGAGGGGGGCGGAGGTAGGCAGCAAGATGGCTTCGCTTAATCGCCTGAGTTCAACCCCAGGACTCAATATGGGGGGTTGTGGTGGTGGTGGTTGATGTGACAGGGTTTCTCTGTGTAGCCCTGAATGTCCTGGAGCTCAATCTGTAGGCCATCCTAGCTTCAAAGTTAGAGATCTGCCTGCCTTTGCCTCCTGAGCGCTCAGATTAAAGGCATGCGCCATCACGCAGGGCTGTGCTGTGAAATTCTGTCTTTTGGTGTCTTTTCTTGCTCGGCCTTGTGCCCCAGCCTCCGGAACGTGGAGGAGTGTCTGAACCATGTGGACAGCAGCTTCTTCCTGGGGAAAGTCTGCTTCCTGGTCACAGGGGGTAAGTGTGGCCCCTTCCTGCAGCTCTCCTACCCCAGCTAGAGCAATAGCAGTTGTGAGGCGGTCTGCAGAGCCGTTCTCCTTAGGTTCTCCTTAGCCAGCTCCTGATTTTTTTTTTTCTTTTGCCTAAGGTGATGATCAGAAGTGGGCATGAGATCTAGAACTGGAGTTACAGTTACATATGGTTGTGAGCCACCATGGGTGCTGGGAATCGAACCTGGGTCCCCTGGAAGAGCAGTCAGTGCTCTTAACTGCTGAGCCATCTCACCAGCCCCCATTTAAGAATGTACTTTGGTTTTTGTTTTGAGACAGGGTCTCACTATGTACTCCTGGCTGTCCTGGGACTCATTATGTAGATGAGGCTGGCCTTAAACTCACAGAGGTCCACCTGCCTCTGCCTCCTGAGTGCTGGGATTAAAGGTGTGCGCCACCACACTCCTGGCTTTCTAACTTGACCCCGGTAGCTGATTGCGCTCTTGCTTGGAGTTCCTCACTGACTCCTGTGGCTTCCAGAGAGAAATTCAAATCCTCTAGACAGGCAAACCTGGAAGTTTCCACACACCTCTCATCTCAACACGCAGGACGCTAAGGCAGGAGGAACAGGAATTTGAGAGCAGCATGCAGGGGGATTACTGAAAGTTCAAGGCCGGCTCAACAGCGTGGGGAGGTCATGTCTCCAGGATTTTGCTATTAGCCTCTGCCTTTGTGTCTCGTCTCCACTCCTTTTCCTCTCATTCTTTGGGGCAGCTACAGTTCTCTGGAAAAGGTCCTGCTGGTCCTGAGGGGAGGCAGGATTACTGGTAATCCGTTTGCTCAAACACTTTTTTTATTACAATGGTCTTTGAGGTCTTTTATTACAATAGGCATTACCTGAGATTTACAGCTGAGGAGACTGAGCGTAAGTGGCCTGCCCAGGGCCCTATAGCTCATTAGTGGGGAGCCGAGCTTCATAGTCCTGCTGCTGGGCCATCCATCACCTTCTTTTGTTTGGGTTTTTGCTTTGTTTCATTACATTTTGAGACAGAGACTCAATATGTAGCTCAGGCTATCCTCAAACTCTGTGTCACTATGCCTGGCATTAGGACTGTCCTCTGAATGATTTGGGGCTCCTATCAGGTCCTGTTTCTCCTCTTTGTCTGGCTGACTCCTGCGGGAATACCAAAACACTCTGCTCAGGGTCAGCGATCTGTCTGATCTGCCAGCATTCCCTATGACACTGAGGTCTTTGAGGGGAGAGTCTCTCACTGATGCCTATGATGGTGGTGATAGTGATGGTGGTGATGATTCTCTCCAGTGAATGCCTGGGACTCATCAGTATCAGCTCAGCTGACTCTGAGCAGCTCTGTGTAGTGGGTGCTCTTGTTCTCATTTCAAGAGTGAAGAAACTCAATTATCCATAGAGCACTTGGGAGGCGGAGGCGGAGGCGGAGGCAGAGGCGTGGCTCTCTGGCTGATGTAGCCTGAAATGTGCCTGGCTTCTTTGCAGCTGGACAGGAAAGCCACTGCACCATTCACCGGAACACAGTTATAAAACTGGCCCACACCTACCGAAGCCCCTTGCTCTTCTGTGACTTAGAGGTAAGAACTCTGGCCATTGGGGCCAGTGAGAACAGGGTACCATATGGGGAATGCTTACCGAAGGGTCACCAAGTACCCAGGGGAGGTGGCCCGGGTATGGAGGGAGGCATGTGATTCTGGTTTAAGGCTTGGCTTGTAAGTCTTGTGTGTGTGTGTTTGAAAGTCCCTGTCGATAGTGCAGTCTCCTGCAGGGGGATAAGTACTTATGATATGAGGTGTCAGGTCCGTCTGGCGGTCAGAGTGCCTGATGTCATCCCAACCTCCATGGACTGCAGACCTTGTCTGTGGTGTCACAGGGCAGGACGCACAGCAAGTAATGGGGGTGTTTATGAGATGGACAGGTAGCTGGGTAGGTAGATGGACAGTGTGTTGGTTCCACCCTGATTCACTTCTGTACATGTGCTCACCAGGTGAGCCCTGTCTGGCCATAGCAAAGCAGGTATGCATTTTCTTTCTCTTTTTATTTTGTGTGTGTGTGTTGTGTGTACATGTGTGGGGGAGGGGCATGTACCTGTGCATGCCCAGAAGCCAGAGAAGGATGTCAGGTGTCCTTCTCTATCGCGCTCTGCCTAATTCTCTTGAGCAGGGTAGAGGTGGAGTTTTCCTCTCCAGACCATTTGCTCCCAAATAACTGGCAGCTGCTTCCCAAATTATCACACAAAGACTTATATTAATTATAAATGCTCGGCCAATAGCTCAGGCTTGTTATTAGCTAACTCTTACACTTAAATTAACCCATATTTCTTATCTATACTTTGCCATGTAGCTTGGCACCTTTTCTCAGTACTGTTTGCCCATCTTGCTCTCTCTGTGTCTGCCAGCGACTCGCTAACTCTACCCTTCCTCATCCCATCGTTCTCAGTTTGGCTCTGATGGTCTAACTTTGTCCTGTTCAGCTATTGGCCAGCCAGCTTGTTTATTAAGCCCTCCATAGAGGCATATATCCACACAGTGTACAGAAGGATTATTCCACAACAGCAGGGTCTTCACCAAATCTGGAGCTAGACTGGTGGCTATCCAGTCCCAGCAATCCTTCTGCCTCTGCCCTTCCCTTCCCCCCACAGCACTAGAGTCACTGGCACTCACAGACATATACACATTTTGACATGGGTGCTAGGGTCACAATGCATTCTTGTACAGCAAGCACACTTCCCACCCAGCCAGCTCTGGAGCCCCACAAATGTGTTGTTGTTCAGCAGGAGTTGATGCACGCTCCCTGGGAGAATTACTGAAGGTCCTCTGGGCCCGAACTGCCCCACTCACATACCTGGCCTGCTCAGTTGCTCTGGGGATCTTTTTGTTAGTTTTGAGGTTTGTTTTGAACAGTTGTGTCCTGCCTGGGTCTGGGACCTTTTCCCTAAGATGAAGTAACTCCGTAAGAACCAGGTCAGGACAAAATCCCACACATCCTGTGGCCCAGGGTTTCCTGTTATGTGGTCTGTGGACTGTGCCTGTGATGGCAGAATCCAGGTGACCTATAAATTTGCATGAGAAGTAGCGTCTACCCCCTCCGCCACAGCACCATACTAACATTTAGCTGGAGGCGAGCTCATGAATGAGCCAAGAGTGTCGGTGGGAATAGCGAAGTTAGCAGTTACCGACAGACACAGCATGCTGGGGCTGGAGTGCTGGCTGTTGGCTAGGAGCATTTGCTGTTCTTGCGGAGGATCGGAGTTTGGTTCTCAGCATCTACATTACAGTTCACATCTGTCTATAACTCCAGTTTTGATACCCTTGGCCTTCTGGGGCGCCAGGCACACACCGTGCACAGATGTACATGCAGGCAGAACACCCCTACACACAGAGCTGCTGATGCTTTGATTTACATGTTAGGGCAGACCTTGTCGCTGCTTTGATCTGGTTGCTAAACTGCCCCCTAGACCACCCTAGACCACAGCATGATCAGGGTTTGCATGCCACTCATTGTACATCTGTCTCTTCTTATTAACAGTGTTTTCAGAATCCTTGACTAGATCCAGGCTCTGCTCTCATAGGTGACGACACTCTGTACCCCCGGCACACCTGAAGGGTCTCACCCTGCAGGGTTTCCCCATAGCAAACCTCTGAGAAAACACTCCAAAAAGAGTCACCTTGCTCAGTCACACAGAGTTAGGGCCAGACGGTTAGTGGGCGGCGATTTTCCCATTGTGGCCTGCTGAGCATGTGGCTTCGAGCAAGTCTCCCTATACCCACTTCTTGGTAGCTTTATGATCGCTTACTGAAGAGTCATCTTTGCTTCCCAACTCAGGTGGAGGTGGAGCCTGGTAACCATGTAACAGGTGCTGTCGCAGTTCCATATGTGGCCACGAGGTGGCAGGCCATACCAGTTTTTGAGTTTCCATGGCGCTTGAGGCCTAGACTAGGGGCAGTGATAGGTTCAGCAGGTAAAGGCACTTGCTGTCACCCTGAGTTCTGGGCCCCACGGGTAAGAAGGAGAGAATGGATTCCTTGTAAATTGACCTCTGGCCATCATGCATGGGCGTGCACACACACCACGCACACACACACACACCACGCACACGCATTCTCTCTCTAAACATAGTTTTAAAAAGAAAGGAAAGTCACGGCGCCATCTGTGCAGAGGAAAACAGAGGCCGCAGTCTGTTCCCAGCTGGCAGAGGCTACAAATACCTGCCCGTAACACACGCCTAGGTCCCTCCGATGAAGAGCCCCATCTGTGGGCTGTCGGGCCCGCCCTGCATGTGTCTGAGTAGTCATTTTCAGAGCATACTTTCTGTCTTATCCGATTGGAACCTCAACGTATCTGGAGGCCTTTGTGTGGCAAGAGCTGCTAGCTCTCTTTTATAGCCTGGGAAACACTCTTGGACAGTGTGGAGGGCGTGTCTCAGTGTGGGTCGTGAGGGACAGGAGACAGCTGTGGCATTCAGACTCCAGCAGATTGGAAATACAGACCTTTGAGGGTTCAAAATACCTGTCACACATACACAGTGTACCCGGCACCGTTGTAGGCATCAGAGACACTGCAGAGAGCCAAATAGTGAGATTTATATATTTATATATGCCTGGCTGTGCTCTAGGAACACAACTAGCCACGTGGGCTTGTTTGTTTGTTTGCAATGTGAAAAAGAATGACTGGAGCCAGGCAGTGGTGACCTACGCCTTTAATCCCAGCACTCTAGAGACTCAGGCAGGCAAATCTCTGTGAGGTCGAGGCCAGCCTGGTCGACAAAGCGAGTTCCAGGACAGCCAGGGTTACACAGAGAAACCCTGTCTGGAAAAACCAAAACCAAAACCAGAGAGGGGGGGAGGGAGAGGGGGGGAATGAATATGAGGTAGAAGGGATGAGAGTCCGGCGTGTAGCTTTGTGGGTAGAATGGATCCGAAGGGGAGAGCTCATGTGTGAGCAACAGCCTCTCGCTGTCTGGCAGAGAGTGCTCGTCAGCAAAGTGCAGAGGGCCCGAGCTGCCTGGTGTGGTGAAGGACCTTCAGGGGGGCCGGGGTGGAATAGCTGAGCCCTGAGGGCAGAGTAACAGGAAGCGTCAGCAATGACGGGGTGAGGTCGTAGAGTCAGTAAAGGCTGTGGCTTTTCCTCCAAATAAAACTAGAACTGCTGGAGGTTTGGGGCCCAGCAGGACGGGCTTTGCTCTGGCTGTGACTAGATGAAGAGAGAGGAAGGCAGAAATGAGGACAAGGTTTAGAGATTTTTCTGGAAGGGCTGAGTGGTCTGGATTCAGTGGTGTCCAGAGAAGAGACATGGGATGGTCCGTAGTCCATGCTGTTTCCTGGACAGTCAACAGAATGTGCTGGTGGCCAGATGTGAGGTGACAGGGAGACAAGTCAGGGACAACTGAGGCTTCCGGCATGACAGCTGGTAGGTGGCGCTGCCTCCAGAGATGAGGCAGAGTTGAGGAGCCGAGTCGGTGACGGGCTGGCAGTGCCCTGGGGCCACTTGCTGGTTTGGCCAGGCAAACGTTTGTCAGCGTCCCTTGCCTAGAACTCACTGGTCCAGGGCCAGGACATCTTTCTAACCCCCAGCTCCCCTGAGCCCTCCATCCCAGCAAAGGACACATGGGTGTGGGTCACATGTCCTTATCTGTGCTGAGGGCCACTCTGCCCCCTCCCTTCTGCCCCTGTGTCTTCTTGGGGTGCCCCTCAGTGGCTGGGACTAGCCATGGTTGAGGTCTTAGCTCTGCGGTCACTCCTCTGTGACCCTGGACTGTGTAGTTGACCTTACCAGTTCCTTTGGTTGGTTGGTTGGTTGCTTTGTCGAGACAGGGCTTCTCTGTGTAGCCCTGGCCATCCTGGAACTCACTCTACAGACCAGGCTGGCCTCGAACTCACAGAGATCTGCCTGCCTCTCTCTGCCTCCCGCATGCTGGGATTAAAGGCGTGCGCCACCATGGCCTGGCCAGACCTTACCAGTCTTGTCAAATCCCTTATCTTGATCAGGGCTCAGTCTCCGGGTGTCTCTGGGTTTGAAAAACAAGGTAGGAAGTTGCCTGGTTAAGGGGTGGCACAATCCCGGGGTACCCGTGCACCTCGGCCCCCAGCTTCGCCTTGGCCTCTGCATACTGAGGGTGTCCACAGCGCCAGCCCCCGCTCACGCACGGCTCTTCTTTGCTCTCCCTGAAGGTGGAAAGCTTTCGAGCCGCCGCGGCACAGCGCCTGGTCCGCATGCTGCAGATCTGCGCTGGCCACGTGCCAGGGGTCTCAGCGCTGAACCTGCTGTCCTTGTTGAGGAGCTCCAGCGGCCCCGCGCCCAAGGAGCTGTGAGCACCGAGGAGCTGTGAGCATGGCGGCGGCTGCCCTCCCTGCATTTGGCTCCAGCTCCAGAAGCAGTCACTGTGGCTGAAGACCAGTCAGGGCCTGACAGGCCCCGGGAGGCAGCCTGCTGACTGCAGGGCTGAGCTCTGCTCCCCCATGTGCTGGGCAGGAGTGGGGAGGGCGCCCAGCGCTCGAACCCCCATGCTTCCCGGCTCACCACAGAGGCCCCCACCCCACAGAGGCCCCGTATCTTCACCTGTCTGACGGGGTGCATCCACCTAAGGTTTCTTTGGAACAAAGAGCCGTGGCTAAAAAAAAACCTAAAAAATCTGTCTCACCCACCATTTGACTTTGTAAATGAGGAAACTGACTCAGTACAATTAAGGGGGCAGAGCGCGGCTTCCAGGAGCCCAGGGAAATGTCACGTGCTGGCCCAGCCTGGCTGTTGCTCCTGGGAAGCCGTTTTTCCTGGTGTAAATGGAGACGGTTCTCCTCATGTCACGTTGACAGGATTGAATGAACCGGCAGGTGACATGCTGCCTTGAGACTGCATTGCTCACTGCGACTTGTCTGTTTGTCCAGTAGGTCACACATGCTGCCGTGGCCCACACAGCAGCAACGAGGCACTCACAGACAGTGACAATCAGGTATAACCAGACGGAGCTGATTCTTAGCATCTCACCTCAGGAATGACACCAGCAAGGTCAGAGTGTGAGAAGTGAGTAGCCGGCTGGGAGCCATTGCACACTTCCCCTCAGACCCAAAGAGAAGTTTGTAGACGGGCCAGGCTGGACTGGGCAAGTTCTGTTAGCCCAGTCAAGGTTCCCAGGGCTGCAGGAGGTGGGCTTAGCACATGGGGGCCTGGGGGGGCGGGGGTCTGTTGAGAGTACAGACCATCAGTGGTTGGCAGGGACAGCCAACTTGGATGTCACGGGGGGCTGTAGCTGCCTTCCAGAACAGCCCAATGCTCTGCCCCTAGTATGAAGAGTTCGACGTACCTCTCTGGATTTTTGTTGTTGTAGGTTTTTTTGTGTTTGGGGGTTTTTGTTTATTTTTGAGACAGGATTTCTGTGTGTGTAGTGAACTCATTCTGTAGACCAGGCTGGCCTTGAACTCAGAGATCCACCTGCCTCTGCCTCCCAAGTGCTGGGGTTAAAGATACAAACCACCCCAGCCGGCTACTCTACCTTTCTGGCTTTCTGGCAGCCCCTTGGGTCCCAGGAGGGACCTCAGCTTTGAGGTCCCTGTGAGGCCACACATGTCACCTGACACATGCAGAGAGCACTTCACGCTTCACAGAGTTCTGCTCACGCAGCAGCAGCAGCTCCTGCCGACCTCCCAGCATGCCTGCAGGGTTGCTGATTCCCCGTTTCGGAGTCCCCGAGACAGACTGCACTGAACGTGTGTCCAGAGTCATAGCCAGTGGGTGGCAGGCCTGCGTTGCCCCCCAGTTCTGTGGGGCTCCACAAAAGGGGTGTCATCTCCCCTGGGAGGGCCCGAGATGGGAACACAAGGTTTTGTGCCTGAGAGAGCAGCCGTCTTGGGGCAATGTCTCCGACCCCTCAGTACCCTGGGCCCTAAAGTGTGCAGGAAGGCTGATGGAGTGGTACCTAAGCTAGAGAGGAAGGGAGCATGGGCACACCTCTCCTGTTTGTCACCTTTTGCTGAAAAGAGGAAGCTTCACCCCTTCCTTACCCTGGCCCAGCTAGCATGATGTGCACACCTCTCCCTCAGGTCCCTGTACCACGTTTTCTTTGCCACCTGGTGCCATTTAACAAGAGAAATGGCACCACATTCTCCAGCGAGGGCCTGGGAGCCTTCCAAGAGCCGGGGGAGCTTGAGGCTGTCACTACTGCCAGCTCCCTGCCAAGCTTGGCAGGGACCCTGGAACTAGAGGCGCCTCTCTGGGCTTGGGCTGGCCTGCCCCTGAGGGCTGAGCGACACTTCAATGCCAGGCAGGTGCCCTCAGACCTTAGCAAAGACAGCAGGAGTGGTTGCTCCTGGCAGGATGTCTGGCTGAGGACATGAGGGCTGGGCTTGATGCTGAGGTGGCGGAGTCGGGTGATTCAAAGACTCGGGATGTTATCAGATGCCTGCGGCCTGAGTTAGGGCTAAGATCCTGTGGGAGAGCTTGCTTTACATCACAGGTTCCTTTGTCCCTAGGCTGCCTGCTATGGGCAGTTCTTATACCCCTCCAGGAAGCTCAGGTCTCTGCAGGAGGATGCTGTCCCAAGTGTTGTGGGCAATAATCCGGGGGTCCTTCTTGTCCCTGCCTAAAGGGGTGGTGGTGGGCCATTCCTCTAGAGGAAAGGAAGCTGTAGAATCCCCAAGGATCCTCTACCCAGCTGGGTGTGGCTCCCGTTTGTAGCCAGCAGAGATGGATGGAAAGAACAGTGATTTTTCAGGCCAGCCTGGGCTACAGTGTAAGACCAATTCATGCAAGTGGGGAAGGAGCTGAGGTGGTCTGTGGGGTAAAAGCATTTGCTGTGTGAGCTTGACTGCCATGTAAAGACAGGAGAGTACACCCTGAAACTTGCCCCCTGGCCTCACACACAGCCTGCAATATTAATACCTTTTACAAGGAGTTGGGGTGCCGTTCAGTTGGTAGAGTGCTTGCCTAGCATGCGTGAAACCCTAGTTCAATCCATAGCATCACGTGCAGGCATAATGGCTCAAACCAGTAATCCCAGCACTCAGGGGTGGAAGTTCAAGGTCATCTTCAGCTACACAGTGCATTTGAGGCCCATCTGGGCTACATGAGACCATCTGAACAAACCAGGGCCAACAAGGCAGGACAGCTCAGCTGTTAAGTGTTTGCTGCCAACCTGGATGACCTGAATTTCATCTCAGAACTCACTCCTGCAGGTTGTCCTTTGACCTCCATGTGTGAACGTGCCTCCCCAAAGTCATTTATAAGAATAAAATTAAGCCGGGCGGTGGTGGCGCACGCCTTTAATCAGCACTCAGGAGGCAGAGGCAGGAGGATCTCTGTGAGTTCGAGGCCAGCCTGGGCTACAGAGTGAGTTCCAGGAAAGGCGCAAAGCTACACAGAGAAACCCTGTAAGAAAGAAAGAAGAAAAATATCACCCCCTAGAACAGAGGCCTGGGCTGCTTGGCCACAGAGGAAGTAGTGAAGTAGGAAAGGACCAGGCCCGCAAGTCTCACCGCCAGGCCCTGTGACGTGGGTCAGCTCGCTTTCCTGCTTTGAGCCTCTGCCTCTTGGGGTGCTCATGGCTGGAAACAAGAGCCTGATCCTTCGCTGCCCTGTTTCCTCCACGCGGTATGCGTGTGCAGCAGGTGCACCCCGCACAGGCTACGCTTACCAGTGTGGAGGTCCTGCAGCCAATGTCTTCCTCTCCTGTTCTCCATGTTATTTTTGAGTCAGCGTCTCTCACGGAACCCCAAGTAAATCTGAAAGACAGAAGCACACCCCTCGTTCCCTGGTACCCTCCTTGGGTTTTCCTCCTTCGCCTTCACCTACTAGATGGCTTCCTTGCTGGAGTTGGGCTCAGGCTGCCTGCTGCTGCTCTGCTCCAGGACGAGGGGGAGCCTGGTGCGGAGTCTGCACTGGGCTGGTTGGTGAAATAGCCCTGTGTGGGGTCTGCAGGAGGCCGAGCCCAGCCCCAGCTTGTTCGGCTGTGATGCCCCGAATGAAGCAGGAGCGTTCCCGTTCCTCCTCACAGTCTCACCGTCCCGTGCACGGCTGCCCACGGTCCCCCCCCCCCCCCCCCCCCCGGGCAGGACTCCGAGAGGTTGAAGTCCTGTGGCCTCTTGTCCTGAGACCAAGGGCACGCTTAGAGTGTGACAGAGCACAGGGGCATGCACGGGGGTGGGGGGTGGGGGACACACGCGTACAGAGAGGGGGCTGGGAGTAGCCTGGGCTAGGCAGAGGGAGCGGAGTACTGCTTCATGGAAGGGCGTGGCCTGCCATTGACTGTCGAGGAGAGAGGACAAGGCCCACCCTGACCACTGCGCTGCCTGGGGCTCCTGCTGCTCAGGCCTGCGGACACTACTGATTCCCCGCCATTCCCACCCCTCTCCCGTGAACAGACAGCCTGACACTGTCCTCCCCTCTGTCCCCACTGAAGGGGACTTTCCAACAGTGTCCTTGTTTCTCAGAACGAGATACAAGGGGGAGGGGGGCAAGGGCACCTCTGCTTTGAGAACTGGACACTGAGAAAATGGGGTGGAGCTGAGAGGGTGGACGTGAAGTTCCCGAACCAATTCAGGGTGACTGGGAAGGCCCCAGGGCACTCCATGCTATGACTCATGTTTCTCAAAAGAACAAAAAGCCTTTGCATGTGTGGACCTGAGGCTGTGTGTGAGCAGTCTCCAGGGCAAGGGGACAGAGACTGCCCGGCCACCACTTCCAACTCAAACTACAGTCTTGAAGGGCTTTTAGTGAGACTGTGTGGGCATCCTGGCCTGATTACAGCTAAAACCAACATTACTGTCGGAGAACATCCCAGGTCTCAGAGCAGTTTCACATCTAGATCTGGGGGGCTGGGCCTCTCTGTCCCCAGGGGCTGCCTCCCGCAACTCCCCCCCCCCCCCATAGATGGCAGAGTGGCCTTACTTCCCTGACCCTGTCCCTGAAGCATGAAGAATATGGGCCACGCTTCACAGTTAGGTGGGTGCAGACCCCATCCAGGCCTTCATTACTGCCGTCTCATCCTCTGAAAGCCCTCTGCCCCTGAAAGCCTGTTTCTTCATCTGATGCTCTTTGGGGAAATTTTCAGAGCAAGAATTCCCCACCCCAACCCCCAAATGAATCACCCTTTTTTTCTTTCTTTTTTTTTTTTTAAAGGAGCAGCTGGGCATGGTGTTAGGGACTTTAATCCCAGCACTCAGGAGGCAGAGAAGCAGGCAGATCCCTGAGTTAGAGGTGTCTGACCTGGGCCTACTGGTATGCCCACAACCCTAGCACGTGATGGAAAGATCAGGAGTTCAAGGTCATCCTCAGCTATGTAGTGAGTTTGAAGCCAGCATTGAGCCAATGAAATAGTTGAGATCGGGGTTGGAGAGATGGCTCAGAGGTTAAGAGCACTGGCTGCTCTTCCAAAGGTTCTGAGTTCAATTCCCAGCACCCACATGGTGGCTCACAACCATCTATAATGAGATCTGGTGCCCTCTTCTGGCCTGCAGGGATGCGTGCAAGCAGAACACTGAATACATAATAAATCTTAAAAAAAAAAAGAAAGAAAGAAAGAAAAAAGAAATAGTTGAGATCACTAAGACAAAAATTTGATTAGAAGGCGTTTCAGCAACAAAGTCCCTCATTTTAAGGTCAGGAATATATAGATGTACAGGCTGACAAGAGAGGCATGCTTCCTGAGCCTAGCACCTGAACATGTCTCCCAGAACTCCTGAGAGTTGTCCTCTGACATCATGTGCACTGTGGCACATTTGCCTCCACTCACACATGGTGGTTTGAAAGAAAATGAACCCCAGAGGGAGGGACACTATTAGGAGGTGTGTCCCTGTGTGGGTGGTCCTCCAGGTCTCATATATGCTCAAGCCACGCCCAGTCTCAAACTACGTCCTGTTGCCTGTGGGATCAGCATGTAGCTCCTTTTCCACTCTCGGCTCCTTCTCCAGCACCATGTCTGCCTGTACGCTGCCATGTCCCGCCATGATGATGATGGACTGAACCTCTGAAACTATGCCACCCTGTGGTGATATATTGTGTACCCTAATAAACTTGCCTGAGGATCAGAGGACAGAGCCAGCCACTAGGTTAGATATAGAGGCCAGGCAGTGGTGGCACACTCCATAAATCCCAGCACCTGAGATCTCATGCCTTTGTTTCGGAAGCACACACACCTATAATCCCAGGAAGTAATATGGCAGGGCAGAGAAAGGTATATAAGGCGTAAGCAAACAGGAACTCGCTCTCTTTAGGCTGAGGATTTTGTAGAGGTGAGAACTAGTGGCTGGTTGTTCTGCTTCTCTGATCTTTCAGCTTTCACCCTTTTATGGCCTCTGAGGGTTCTTGCACAGACATGCACTTAAAACACACACACACACACACACACACACACACACACACACACACATAAAATATTAAAAAGTAATAAACTAGCCAGGTGTGGTGGCACACACCTTTTGTCTCATTGCTTGGAAGGCAGAGGTAGGCAGATCTCGAGTTCAAGGCCAGTCTGGTCTATGTAGGGAGTTCCAGTACAGCCAGGGCTACACAGAGAAACCCTGTCTCAAATAATAATAATAAACAACTTGGTTTAACATCTATGAAAAAACAAGAAGTTGAAATGTAGCCTAACATTTCCTGCATTGGTGAGCGCTCTCTCTCTCTCTCTCTCTCTCTCTCTCTCTCTCTCTCTCTCTCTCTCTCTC